AACACAGCATTATATAGTAATATTTGTATTTTATATTTTTTCTGCATGTGTTTTGCCTACACATTTTCATATTTAAGTTAAAGTCAAGTATTCAAATAGAGGAAGACTGAATGCTTTCCTATTTTTGTACTTCTAAACTATTCTGTTCTGCATAAATGGGACTAAAGAGTTTGTAAGACATAGTACAAGGAGTATAAAAACCAAATACTTTAATACACTCCCTAAAACTATGGGGCTTAACCTAGTCTGTCGGCTCAATTAATTGAATAATTGGGTTCTGTTTTTCTCTGTATTTCTCCTGCAGGATCAAAATCTATTTCTTTTAACAGGATCACAATCACCTTCTGTTCTGAGCTGCCAGGCAGATAGCACCGCATAATTATATAGCTGTATAGCGGTACAGCATGTCTTATACTGCAAATACATATTGAGTGTATTTGCGTCCTTTGGGGTCAGAAGTACAGCATAAATTTGAATTCTTGATAAATTAATGATGCTATTTTTCTACCCCGTGGCTCTCATAATGGAAGAATCTAAAAAAAGTTCATGGGGACAACTGTTCCCTTAGACACACAGTGCTACTGAAATTAATCCCTCATGTACACTGATGTCCTTGGCTAATGTACGGGTTGAAAATGGACAGGACATTAGAAGGAAACTGTCTGCTGTTTAATGGTGTTAGCCTCCACTTCTGTACTGTGTATGCCCAGCGAGGGGGCATACGAAATTAGTACAGAGATTCTTCACTGGCCTTCAGCTTAGTCCTGCCACGCAGTCTGCACCATGCATTCCCTTGTTTGGGAGGTGGTTGTGGGTGATGGTTCTAGCTAGCGGTAGTATTGCACATCCTTTGATTTCATAAGCTAAAGACAGGTAAGAATAATTCAGAATGACTGTCTGGCAAAGGCCAAAATCTGTAGGAGGAAAAAGATGTAAATACTTTCAGTAATTTCAAGGTCTATTCTTTCTATATATAGCTAATAGAATATCTATTTAATCTATTATCTAATACTTAATTAAATGAGATCTGAATCATGTTTATCTGTGCAATACCGTAACAACTGAGTAGTTCGTTTGCTCTCATCCATCTTCCCTTTTCCTTCACAAGCAATTCTTACTATGATATTTGGGAAATTATACATATGGTAACTACAGTTGTCAGCAACAGATGTTACTTACAGCTTCTCAGGATAGCATAAACTACCCCCCTGTGAACACTTCTGAACTGGAAGATTTCCTGTGGAAACCTCCAGCACTGGCTAGAATCACAGTTCTCGGTAACATGTAAAAGCAGTGTTAGCCTCGCAGGCAGATGTACCTGCTGGTGGGTACGGGTCTGTGACAGTGCTGAGCATGGGCTCTGCACAGCCTCTCCCTCCCACAAGGTCTGCCATGAGTCTGGTTAGAAGCATTAAGAAACAGTCACATCCCTCTCTGATTAAATACAAACATGAAGACACTTCGAGATAAACAGTAATTACAGAAAAACTTCCTCCTTTCATGTTTGTTGGTTGTGCTGCTGGAGGAGTCCTTACATGCCGTAAGTGTACTTTCTAGATGACCTGCTGCCACCCAGGTGATGCACGTAGAGAGGAATTTCACTCACAGGGCAGGCATTATGTCACAACTGCCTTTCTATCAGCAATAAACCTAAGAAAACAGACTGGAGACTGAGAAACTTCTTAAAAAAAACGAGCAATACACCCCTTCCAAAAACCCTGACTGCAGCATTGAGAATGTACTACTTCTTAGTACACAGAACCAACTTCATAGTATCAGATAGTTCAGGGGAGCATGGTTTTGGCCATAAGCAGTTTCTACTGGGATATGTCCCAAGGAGTTACCTGTCCAGGTGTACTGGCCTCCATCTCCTCCATCTCAGAGCCCCTTCTCTGTCACACAGCAGACCAGGTAACACAATCACTAGGGCAGTCCTGAGCTTTACTGAGCACGTGGGCAGGGACGGACCGTCATGCATGTGTGCTGCTGGGTTACACGGGGGAGCAGGCTGCTGCTGCCAGCACACTGCATGGGCACCTGCTCCTGGCCATAAAGAGCTCACAGGGTGCGAGCAGGATTAATTGTTTGGTACTGAATAAGGGGAACTCAGTGGCAACTCAGGTTAGTTGTTGCTTTCCTAATGGTTCACGATGCCAGAGCAGCTCCCTTCATACCACATTTAAATTAACATTTTAGTAAAATGCTGACCATTTTACTACTATGTAATTCTTGTAATTCTGTCCTTTCTGCCTTGTGTAATTTCTGGTGCTTCCTTACTATTTTGTTCCAAGATCTAATTTTGTTCTGATTAAATGAAAAAGTGGTGAGACAGACCAAACTACATGAACTGTCGAACACCTAGAAGACTTCTCAGCATAAAAGTATTCCCAAAATAAGCTTTTCCCTAAGGTAAGACTTGACAAACAACCTCAACAATAAAATTCTTTAACACTATCCAGTTGACTGGAGTCTTTTCAGGCCTAATTTACATAATTTGACATAATTACAGTTATAAACACTCGAAGCCTTGGAAGGAAGAATGTCACTGAAGCCTACATTTTATTGGCTCTCATTGCATTTGGCAGCTGTACAAAACTGTAGAGCATGGGAATTTGCTCAGATGGATCCTGATTATACAAACATATAATACAAGCTTTGAATTCTCAATGCAAGTTTGTCCTGTACAGAAAGATACCACAAAGTCTACCCAGGCCTCTGTCCAGTCAGCCAGCGTGATGTATAACGAGAACACAGTTCGAGGTACTGGTGGTGGTTCCCTCCACATGGATGCCCATTAAACCACTGCTTTGTCCACACGGTAGCAGTGGACACCTGAGTGTCAGACTCCAGCTGCCTACAACTGAAAGCAGCCATATAACTTACTTAAAATTTTAAAACCAAAGATAAATTTTTAAAAAAATAATATATATATGATATATATATACACACACACTTCTAATTAAAGGTGCAAATTAAGAATTAAAAAAAATCTGTAATAAATCTACAGAACGAGACCACTAGCTCCTGTTTTCTACTTTTGTCATAAAGATTACTCTCATTATTACATTTCAACAATGCAAGGGAGGAGGAAGATGTTATCTGAGGAATCCTTTTTCCAAAAAGCTTCCTATCAACCAGACTGAGGTCCATAGCCCAAGTCATGGTGCCTCTCAGAATACAGTGTGTTCCACAGAAAAATGAGAACGTTTCCTCATTCAAATTTTAAGATGCATGTCTGGAATGCAGGGCAAATACAGACTTTTGTGCTGGTCAGGGAAATCCAGTTCAATTGGTTTATCCTGCTCTGGTTGGTAAGTCTTGTTCCCCTTCCCTTTCTGGGACAATTCTCTCCTTGCACTGCTATATTTTTAGTTATCTGTATCATCAGACATTTTTTTTTTTGAAGGGCTAGAGAATTCAGAGAAGTCAAAGCATATTTGCAGCCAAAGGAAGGTGCTATAAAAAGCTATGGCTAGCCTCTACACTCTACATTATAATTAATATTTCACAAACTTCAAGACTACATGAGCATCAGTACTTACAATCCTGCTTATTTTCAGTAGTTCTGCTCACTGCATAATATGGAAAAAAATACCAGAGCTTTTAAAAAAGTAATAATTATACGTTTTTGAAATGGTACCAGAAGTCAAGTGCAGAGATGGCTACAGTGAGCTGCCCCCCCATGAGAGTTACCCTTTAAAGACAAAGATCTGGATTACTTTCAAGTATCAATATAAATTATGTTAATAGTATACTTTACTGATTACTGGCCAAATGTTCTCTGCACTAAGGTAAATGCTAAACTGTGTTGCCAATGCCTTAAAATATACCAATCATGCCTGTTGAAGACAAGGAGAAAAAGAAAAAAACAAACTAATGAGTTGGCAGAAAAGATATTTGCAAACCCACATGGATGATACAGAAAATTAAATGCAGGACTAGGATTACCTTAATGGTGAGCCTCAGCCCATGGGCTGGAGTACACAGCTAGGTCTGTAACGCAGAACTGCAGAGGAGCAAGCGTGACCTGTCCAACTCGCACCAGCTATTACATTTTTCAAAGCAGCTAAATCAGGTACTTGTTTAAGAAAACACTATAATCTCATTTTATTTATCCTAAGCAACTGACATGTCAGTACCTGACATGGTAAACTTCCAATGTCTTAATTCTTACCTTATAGGAAAATTTTACCTTCCTTTGAAAGACCACATTTGACAGTCTTTAGCTTCCAAACATTGGAACCTGTTTTGTCTTCAGGACAATGTATGTCCCTCTGTGGGAACACTGATATGCTCTGAGTCACCTTGCCACTTCCTCTTAGCTAAAATGAACAGAGTGCTCTCCATAAGCATTACATCGCAGAGCGTGTTTTCTAGCCCCAGAACTTTTGTGGCTTCTTTCTAGTTCTCCTTTGTATTTCTAAATCAGTTATGAAGTGTGAACACCAGGCCTGGACTCAGTGTCCTATCAGCGCTCCCATCCCTGTGAAATCACTTCTCAGCCTTTACTTGCACTCCTTTTTATCTCTCTCTCTCTCTCTTTCACACACAAAAGCATTAGCCTTTTTAAGTACGGAACTGCGAAAGCAGTGCATGATGAGGCTGTTACCATCAATGACCCCTACCCCTTTTTCTGAGTTGCTGCTTCCAAAAAACCAAACAACAAAAAAGCTTTCTGGTTTTTGTTCCTAAATAGGTTACTTTGCATTTGACTCTACCAAAATAACTTTTTTTTTTTTTTTTTTTTTGTGATTGAGATAATTCTGTTGCAGTCACTCTACCTTAAAAAACAGTAATTTATTGTGAACTCAGAAAATATAATGCAAGTTTTCCTGAGGGAGCTGACATTGGGATCAAATATAAGCATAGCTCCCTGCCTCCGTGCAGAGAAAGCAAGGATATAAATCTATTTCTGTTCTGTTAGTAAACAGATTACTCACACTTTGGATACAGAAACAGAGCTTTTGAACTTTCTGAAATGTCTGCTGAGCAAGAATTACCTGAGTAAACTGCCAGTAAAGCTTCATTCTCTTGGCTTTGGCATAATTGCATTCAATGAGCCTGGGCCTGCTGTTCACATCCACCAGGCATCTGTTGTCATCATCGTCGATAGTGGGACTCAGAACACCCACATGGAGCTGCTGATTGCTTGTGTAATAAACATTCTGCAACAGGAAGCACAAACAAGATTTGTGGCCTCTAGACAGAAGCAGCACTTTTACCAAAATGCTAATGGCAAAGATAAATACGCTGAATAGCAGCAGGTTGACCCCACAGTGGCTTTTAAATTATTTCCTTTCATGCAGGAGGCAACACAACATTTTAAAAGTTGTTCTAAATTAACAATTAATTGTTACCAACAAGTAAATGTTGGTTAACTACTTAATAGGAAACTATGGTTGTCTCATCATGTGCCTGTTTACTTCTGTTTCCTATGGTCATGCACCGCGGGGCTTCGAAGAGCGAGATGTACACCCTCTAGCAAGCAGTGGGGTTGGTTTGAGTATTGCCATCAACTCTGATTAGACTATTTAATCTGAGGATAATACCTAACAGGAGAGGTAAGAAAGTGAACAGCAGCATAGCAGTTCAGCAATTAATCTTTTATATGACAGACAGAAAGATAAATGAAGGTTTTCTACAAACAAATGCTAAAAACCGAATTTGAGACAGCTAAACAGAATCCAGCATAAACAATAAAACATTAGCAGTTAGTGACAGACAGATACATGGCAGGAGAGAGAACAGAATGGCCACGTTTCAGGCTATTTACTCTCATTTTATTTTGTATATGTCAATACACACAGACACGAGAGACTCGAAAAAAGAGACCAGACACTGGCTGCTCTGGATTTGTAGCCAAGGAGTGCTCTCATAGGCCTCAGCGATTACACTCGACCAAAGGCACGAGACTATTATATTACACAAATTCTTTCCACTCTGTTTGACTACAAACAGATATGTGGGAGGTTTCTCTAGAAGAAAGACAAAGAAGGGGAAGGAAGGTGAGCTTGCCAGACAGAGCTGATAATGTGTGCTCTTGAAGATAGCAGGTTACAGATAAGCCCAGAAAGGCAGCACAGAACTCTGCCGGGATTGTCTGTTTGCTAATCACAAATATAACTTACTTTGCTAATTCAGACCTTTTTCTTGAGAGGACCAGGAGAAAGATGAAATGGCAACATCATGCTTTAGCAGCCTTATGCAATAAGGGTAGGTGTAAGGCTTTGATAACTCCAGGGGTATCAGAGTCACAACAGACGAGCTGGACAGAAGCACCAGATTAATGTCCTTGTCATCTTACTATATCATTCTGTGTGTCTGTGGCAAAAGGGGAGCTGGAAATTATGCTATGTGTATTTGGGAATCTTTTCTGTTCCCAGAGGCTGATGGTATCTGTTCATTGTTGATGTTGTAGCTTGTTTTGTATGTGTGTATTCTTACTTGTGAAAACTCTGATAAAATATTAATTGCAAATAGGAGAGAAAGCAGAGAAACACAACAAACCAGGACTGAAGAAAGATTTGGGAGCTTAATGTAAAAAAACAACTTTGAAAGCTGGAATCAGTCAAGCAGGAATTAAATACAGATCAAAACAAATGGTGGTGTTTCTGTGCAAGACTACATCCTCTGTTTACCTTCCTGGAACACTCCCAGGGCAGATCCGCAGCAAATGTAAACTGACATAGTTGCATCAGAGTTAATGAATGACATTAATGGTTTACAGTAATCAAAGGTTTGACCCCCTTCATCAAGTTTCATTCTTTTCACCCCACAGAAATTGTAAAAGAAGTCTGAGCTGGCTGAACTGAGGTTGAGTCCAGGTTTGAGAGTCTGAATAGAGAAAAACGGAATAGTTCGGTCACACGTTAAAGGAGAAGAGAAAGGTAAATAAAAGGACCTAGCGGAGCACATTTCCACAATGGTTGATTGTTACTGGTTGACGTAAACTGTAAGAACTGCAGAAGGACTAACAAGACCATACCCCAACAGACCCCATCCATAAATTAGGTAATTGACCTTCCTGCAAACAAAACTGATGCTTTAGAAGAACAATAAATATTTAGAATGCACTTTCTAGACAGACCAACAGCAACAATTGAAGATCTATCCAGATGCTTTTTTTGGAGAGAGACTGAGGTAGTGATACAGCAAGGCAGTAGGATCAAGGTGATCTTTAAAATGGATTCTTAGGACACATCGATTCTAAAGATGAACATTTTGTTGCAGCTTTTTTGCCTCTTATCTAAAATTCCTACTAGAAAAATTAAGAGGGAAATTGTTGGTTTTTTTCATTTTTTACTACTAGGAAGTGATTTGTTAATTCCATTTTTTTCAGCACATTGTCACTACAGAAAAGATGGTAGAAGAAAATCAAGGAGTTTTGCATTCTTTTCTTTTCTTGAAGACACACATCAGTCTTGGCTGTAACTGTAAACCACACTGTAGCTCAGGGTTGCTTGTGCCAAAAAAGTGGTGTACCTGCAAACCCTCAGGGCTAACCTGTTGTTTTTTCTTCCTCAGTCTCCTCAGCCTTTCACAGAGGGGCCTGAAAGTAATCGTTTCATCTTCCTGCATAAAGCAAGCCCAATTCATAGGCAACTCCACCAGCTTTGTTTATGTCAAAGCAGCAATGGTTCAGTCTGGGCATCTCTCTAGGAAGAAGCAGAATGATGGCTCTGGCTGGAGTAATTACCCAATTCTGTTTGTTGGCAAAACTGTACAGAAGTAGATCAAATGCAATTATGCTTAGTAGAGATAATTATCAGGCTGTGGCTTATCTTTAGAGAGCTTACCCTACCTGCTAATATCACTTCATTTTTCATTGTGGACCTGTTTAGAAAGGATGTGTGAAATCTTGTCTTCTCACCTAGTATTGGGAGAGGCATCTTTCAGCTCTTAAGCGGCATGTGAAAATAAGATCAAACTGAAACAGATTGTGGGATGGTTACAGGTAGTCCTTCTAACTAGGCTCTTTCAGGATGCTGATTTGCTTATCCACCAATATGGATATTATTTAATTATTCCATATATTATTATAAGTACTATAGTATCTTATGCAATAATAGTATATCTTATTTCAGAATTGGAAACATTGCACAACCTGGTAATTTGACTACTATGATTTTCTAATGGAGGGATCACATCAATAGCACATACCCTGTACAAATTATACTTGAGCAGCACGCTAGTGAACAGTGAGGCATCCATTTGTGTTGCACTTGGCTGGAAAAAGTTTTCTTAAAACCTATGGACAGTCCCTGGCTCCTTTCCCCCAACCTGAGAATAAATCAGTCCCTGCCCAGAGACAGCATAATAGTGACTATGTCAGGATGAAGGGAGGACATCCATTTGGTAAAACAGAATCCACTACTGATTAAACTCAAGATGCTCTTCTAGTCTGAAACCTAAAGCTATTAGACGTGAAACCATGGTAACGCCTCCCTTTAAATAATTTCACAAATTAAGAAAAATATTTTAATTGCCTTCACACTGTATTCTCCTGTTTCTATTTGGGGTTTCTTTTTTAATCTTTTTCTTGAGGGTTTAGTTTTGGTTTTTTTTAGTTTAAAGATGGTACACAAATTACCTTTCTGGAGTGGCCAGTAGCATATTAACCATCTGAGTCTAATGACTAGGACCTACTCATTAGTGTCCTAAATATTTTCCCCACCTGCATTTCAGGTGAACTAATTTGCTGTATTTACTTTTTCTATTAAATATTCTACCCCTAACTTTTCCTGAAAATTTACTCGAATATCAGGAAAACTTACAATAACATATTGCAATGAAAACAAAAGCTGTATACAGTCAAACTCCAGTATAAAAGAGAAGCAGCTTCACTCGTTATTTGCTATTGGACCAAGCCATATCCTTGCTCATTTTTGGGGAATGCAGGGACTCTCTCTCTCCCTCTTGCAAATCAGCATGGAAGAGAAAAAGGAGAGTTCACGCTTGGAGTCGCAGTCTCCCCTAAATCTCAATTGTTACATTCAGAACAAAGGGTCCTTTTGCTCTTCTGTTCCACCTGTCTCCTCCTAGACAGAGTCTGCTTTCATCTGTAATCTTGAAATACCTCTCTTACAGCCAGCCCGCTAACTGCCACGGAGTTCATCCTCTGCTGAGCTAGCGCTCACTGGGAAAAACAAGTGCACAGCACATGCAAGTGCAAGGGCATAAAGTGGGCATAGCGACAAGCAGGTCTGTGTAAGAATGCTCAAAATACGAAAAAAAAAAAAAAGTTTGTGATTTATAAAAGTTTAGAGCTGAGATAATGCATACTGAATCTCGCACGTACCTGTAGCAGATGCTTCCTTCCTGATGTTAGAGCTCAGCTGACAAGGTTTGGCTCCCTTTGCTTACACAGGGGGAATCATGCTAAGCACAATTCGCAAAATCCCCAGGTAGTACTTCAGTTCCTTAATAGCAGCAAGTCTCAGCTGAGCCAGACAGCGCAGACCAAAAGCTTGGGACAGACTTCGCTGGTACAGATCAGCCGGTCAGTCAGGGTCTGGCAAACTCAGGTGTTGCTGTTCTTTCTAGAAAATTACCGAGTGGATTGCCATGGCAGGTTTCCTGTATGGCTGGAATGATAATTTTGGTGGGATACTCATATCTTATGCGCTGTGTTGCAGTGGTGCAGTACAGAACATATCCTAAATCTGCCATGAAAGCAATGAAGGCCCAGGTAATTCAGCCAGCTTTTTTGCCCAGCGAAAATATTTCAAACACCTCATGAAATCTGCACAAAACCCCATGCCACTGTAGAGTACAAGGGAAGGTAAATGAGCTCTGCTTACTTGGACACAAATACACGGCTTTGTCCTCTCAAAGATGGGATGTAGAGTTTCTATTAATGAGAAATTTGCCCTAAAAAGTCAAAATGTGATTCCTGTTGCAATTAACACTGAAATTCCACTGACTTTAAGTGCAATGACATCTTGGCTCCAAGTTTATTATTAAACTTTGAAAAGCCACCAGAGCTGATAAAGATTTCAGAGCTGAAGTGGCTTGCCAGTTGCAGTAAATTATTCATAGGAGCTGGTTTATCATGTGGCAAAAAGTTACAGTAAGATGTTCAACTTAACACAAGATGATTATCTGAAGGATAAATTGCCAACTCCCCACTGGAAGTTTAAAGCAATACACACCAATTTTCAGGCTG